TGTTTTTTCTCACATTGTGGTTATAAAATTGAACTTATCACATACTTTTCTCAAAATCGAAGTTTTCAAAGGAGGGAGAGAGAAAAAGAGAGAGAGAGAGGGAGGGGGAGAGAGAGAGAGAGAGAGAGAGAGAGAGAGAGAGAGAGAGAGAGGTTGATATACATTCAATATTGTTTTCTTAAGATAAAAAAAAAGCAAACTGGTTGTCGGTAGGTTTAACGAATTTGTTGTTACAGATATTGATTGTCTTTGTTTTACTATACACATACCGACCACTTTTCATTTTTTTGTTCGAAGACATGTCATGTTTTTTCTTGTAAGATATATAAGCCTCCTGATGAGTCGGTGAAACTCCGACGAAATAATTTGTCACAATCCCTCAAACAGAAAAATTCATAGAGAAATGAAAGTTGAAAAAACATTCCATAAAAAAAAAATCATTCATATTTATAAATTATCATTCCAATGTTTGTCTAATTCTAAAATTTTCAATTTAATTTGATAAGTTCCCGTCTAAATATGAGTTTTCCCTTCCAACTACATCTATTTGTTCAAGATGGAATGAAAGTCTGGATGAGTTTATGAAATGTTTTAATTAAACTTTCGGTCTAGTACAACAAATAAAGTCTTATTTAGATTGGATTAACCTATTTATGACTGGAAATCCTTACTTAGAATGGCACTCCAATTAAAATATTTCATGAACTCATCCAGACTTTCATTTCATCTCTAGCATACAGTTCAAATAAGAAGGGATACCTCATTCTTGGAAGGAAAGTTTTTAAGTAAGACGAAAACTTTAAAATTAGAATGACATTTTTTAAGATGGAATGAAAATTTAAAATTTAGAATATAATTTTACTCTAGAATGATTATTTAATTCTGGGAAATTTTTCTATTGTCGTTTGTTATCATTTCTCCCTTTACACCTACGGTTTACCAGAGAACTCTGTTTGACTATATATTTAGATATATATATATATATATATACACACATATATATATACATGTATATATACATATATATATCCATATATATATACATTTATATATATATATATATATATCATATATATATATATATATATATATACACACACATATATATACATGTATATATACATATATATATCCATATATATATACATTTATATATATATATACATATATCATATATATATATATATATATGAGTCGGTGAAACTCCGACGAAACAGTTTGTCACAGCCCCTCGTTTATTGTCCTCTTCTCTCTCTCTACCTACGGTTTACCGGGCAGTTCTGTTCAAGATGATATATATATATATATATATATATATACAAAGAGAGAGAGAGAGAGAGAAAGAGAGAGAAACACATCCAAAGATTCCACGCGCAAAAATTGATAAAAAATGCGTCCTTATCCTAATGAAGGATATTTTTTTTACTTATGGTATATGCGCTTTCATGTCTTTTTGTTTTTTCATGTTACCCAAGCTAAACAGAATTGCGTTGCAGAGTACAGACATGTCGGTAACTATTCTTAATAACACAAAATGGTTTCCCATGTACAGAAACGAAAGTTAAAAAAAACGAAGTTTTCAATGGTGAGGAGAGAGAGAGAGAGAGAGGTATAAATTAAATGTTGTTTTCCTAAGATCGCACAACAAACAAGGTGGTGGTCGGTAGGTGCATATTAATTTGCCTTTGCAAGTATTGATTGTCTTTGTTTTACTGTGGACCTACCGACCATTGTCCATTTTCTTATTCAAAGACGTCTCATATTTTTTTTTCTTGTAAGATATATCAGCCTCCTGATGAGTAGGTGAAACTCCGACGAAATAGTGACCCCACTTTCGCCCCTACCCGTTTGTTGTCCTTTTCCCCCTCTCTACCTCCAACCCTGGACAACTCTGTTTGATTGTATATATATATATATATATATATATATATATATATATATATATATATATATATACTCATATATATGAGTATATCACACACACACACACACACACACACACACACACACACACACAGAAAGAAAGAAATAGACTGAGCCTAACATACACAAATGAGAAACGCAGCATGTGGTTACCAAAAACAAAATTGGAGCTGGAAAAAATTCGGATACATGACATCAATGTAGACTACACATCGAAGATAATTCATCCCACTCTTCATATAATCCCTATATAAAAAGTTTAATCGATTTACAAAAGTTTTTTGGCATAATTTTACAACATCACCAGCAACATTGTATTTCAACATGATTTCAATAGTTTATCAACAGATTTTCAACAGATGAGAGAGAAGATAAACAGTTAATGAACTGTTTGTAAACAGTTATAACTTAAAAAAAGGTTAAACAATGATATCCATTTTGATCATTGATTATAGATATAGGCTAACCCCTTTTATGATTATCAACATGAACATGAAGATAAACAACTTATAAACTGATTAAAATGTGATGTTATATACAAAGGTCCCCTTTAAACTTTAGTTTTAACACACTCTTTTTTTTCTGTTGAGGGGGCCACGAGTAACCGGTGGTAGGGGAGGACGATATAGTAGGGAGGGAAGTCAGTGGTGATGGCAACAAAGCCTGGTATTATAAGATATTGTTGGTTTTGGTTGTCGGGATAATCGGGAATCCGCGGGTCCCGGTTGATTGCTAGTTGGAAGTCGCCCCTGCACAGTCGCTTGTTTTCAGTCTGGCAGGGGTACTCAAGGTGCCCAGGGTTCTGTAAGTGACGATGTTGTCTGATCCGATGCTGGCGGATTTGTTCCCTCTCCAAATACGTTCAGTATTCTGGGTTCCTCAGGCTTTCGCGATCGGTGATCCAGAAAGGGGATTCTATCACCATGTCTCGTTCAGCCGAGTTCATGCACACACATCTTTCTACGGGGCGAGATCATAGCTGGCTTTTGCAGACACTCATGTAGATGGCAAGTCTGCGAACGACTGCTGTCTTACACGTGCGTGCGCACTGGCCAGTTGATCAGATCCTAAACTGCACAAATAAACAAGGAGCGATCCATCAACGTACCGATTCAACCATGCAGCTCGTTCCCTTAGGCAATCAATATCGTTCCCGGGGTGGAAAGAACTATTGGTTATTCACAAGCATACACACCCAACAGTTTCCGTAATCACTGATCAAAAAGACAACTCGAAAGAAAGGATACGAGCTTATTCATCGCCATTCATGCATACATACATACAACAAAAAGTCCGAGATGATTTACTCAAGAAATTCCAAAAATGCCGCAACAAAAATTGACCAATCGTTGAAATTAAAATCTATACAGACAGTAGGGAGAATAGACACTATTCCACCATATCCCCGTCTCTTTCTCTCACTTTCTCTTTCGATGCGGGCAGTCCGTCGCCCCGCATCCCCAACATCAACCCGAGTCGCCATCCCGCTTGGCCTGAGTATGCAAGCCAGGTTCGCCCACGTGCCACAGTCCATCGCGGTCGACCGTCAACCCCGCGCACTCTGCGCCTGCTCGTCGGATCGCACGACTCTCTACTCACCGTTTTTCTGCTCGTTAGTCGATCCTCTCGATCGCACTAACTCCCAAGTAGGTTAGAGAGACAACTAATCGCGCTTGTGAAATTTATAGCATGCATGCTTGCGCGAGGGATACGAGATTAGCACTAAGTGACGAGAAAGAGAAGGGAGGGAGTGCCTACGTCTGCATGCCCAGACCTCGGCGCGGGGGACAAAGCCTCTCTCCGCGCATTGATCCGGGCATGCAACCGTGGGAACCACTCGGAACAGAGGAAGAGCGTGCATGCGAAGACGAGGCGGGAAAGAAGAAATACAAGAACAACAAGATTACAGTTGCGATCTCGTCCGCCAAAAACTACAGTTACCCACTAGATTAAGGCGCGGATGGATTTAGAGCCCAGACCCTGTCGGGTCACGGCGCGTGCGAGCAAGAAGCGTCGTGCCGCCAAGTTGCAAAGTGCTTAAATTTCTAGTATAAATCCTAATTTGCAAGAGAAAATCCCGAACAGAAAAATAAGAAAAAGAAAGAAAAACAATTCCGAGAGCCTGCGGGGGCTCGACATGAGTTCGAATTTCAAAAACGAAAATTCTCGCGCGCTGATCGCGCCAAACATTCGTAGTGCGCATAACAGAACAAGAAAGAAGCTATGGCAACCATTATTTCTCGCTCTCGCTAGGGCGCTGTTACTTAATCGTCGGCGTGGGACTTTCCCGGCACCGGCCTGACAACTCCAACGAAAACGAAAAAGAAGCGAGGGCATCCAGACAACTTGCCCCACCGATCCCGCTTGCGCCCTGTCACCCATCAAGACCCTCCCGTTTCCCCACAGCAACCCCGCGCAGGAAGTCGCACGATTACAGAAGATAGTTAGTCACATATGTGACGCCCAGGGGGTTCCAATCTCGTGCAAGCTCCCGCTTACACCCATATCTTTCCAAGGTGCACGTGTCATAACCGTAGGATAAGAGTGTGGAAGTCATCCGGTTGACACGTCTTCATTTTTGCACATTATTTAGTGTTCCGAGGAGGGGGGGTAGGGGAGTCGGAATGAGGGGGCAAGGGGTGGGGGATGTTCTCTCGGGAGTGCAGGTAAGAAGCTGGCCATCCCCTCTACTGTTGCGGGAAGCTCAAGGTATCGGATAGTGCGGTGTATGCGCGGAAAACGATGGCTGCCATATGGGAGGGAAGCAAGGTAATCAGGATAGAGAGTGGAAAGGGTGCGAAGCACGGCCACGCGGAGCTGCTCGTGGTCCGTACACACAGGATAGTCTCTGTGATTGTGCAATAAACTTCTATCACATTGTGATCCCGCCATGCGGCGCTGAAAAGAAGGATGTGAAGGCAAAAGGAGGAAAAGAGGTACTGAGTGGTGGGGTGTGGGTATATCGTGGCGGCGAGGCGGGTGGCGTAGAACTGATAGAAGAGGGAGGAGGGAAAAGGATTCTGGGGAAAGACGAATGGGGTGTCTATTTGCCAGAACGTAACGTAATCAAGAGGACGACGGGATAATGACCGGGGACGTAGCCCGATGCTCCGCATCGGCACGTGCTCAAACTGAGGGATGGGGGGAGGGGGAGGGGGATCGGCTTCGCTGCCTCCGTGTCGGCGCGCTCGAAGTTTCTGCGGCACAACACTCATCTTCCTCTGTTGGCGGCTCCGGATCTCTGGTCGGATCGTCCGGGATCGGCAAATCAGTCCCCGCCGCCTGTTCCGATGTCCGCTTTCCCTTTGCGATTTCTGCCCGGCGTCGCTCGGTTGCAGCAGGGTCCTCTTCCTGTGTTCTCACCTGTCCCGCCTCTTCTTCCTCGCTTTCCTCCTCCTCCTCTTCACTTATTGCCCCCGACTCATACTCACTGTGCTCGCTGTAATATTCGTCCTCTTCGGGGGTGTCTTCCGATTCGTCACCCTCCTCCTCTTCTTCGTCCTCTTCTTCTTTTTCTTCTTCCGACGTTCGATCCACGAAGAGAAGGTCAACTATCCCCGTGGGGTTCAGGTAGTTACCGTGTGATGGGTAACTATAGTTGTCCTCACCACCCTCCAAGCATGCCGACCACTGTAGATACGGTGTCAAAGTGCGCGGAAGAATACGCGGCGCCGGGTTCTCATCGCAGTGCAAGACGATGTCGATCGGCAAATCGTCCAGCAGCTGCGTCAAGAGGATCAAGATTTCCCTGACGATCAGCTGTCGATGTCCCGCCTCCAATGATTCGAAGACGAATCCCAATAAATCTCCTTCCACCGCTGTTCTCCACACCTGAATGATGAGTAACTCCACGTCCTCGTTCGCGACGGGATGAATGTTGTCTCTGGTCCACTTCAGCCTAATCTCGACTAAGCACAGAGAGCGCCTCATAAGTTTGCCACCACCCTTGCCACTGTCCAGACTTGATAAGAGGGACCGTTAGTGGCTTAACTCGAAAAGAGAGGCAAGGGAGAAGTGCTGACTGCCAGAAAACAGGGAAGGTAGAGGGGAGGCTGAACTGGAGAACCTGTGACGGTTCATTGAGGACGCGAGAAGACGGTAAGTGCAGGGAGAGATATCGTGGGATTTTGTCGGAGAATGTGGATGCCGTCCAGGTCAATATTGTTAGTATAGACCACGCTATCCCCTCGTTGCGCAAGCAGCTAGTTCCAGGAACTTGCCAACTCTTCCCCCCAATCTCGCAGTGAGACGAGGATGATGGGATGCGCTCGCGGATCCACCGTGGTGATGTCTCCGCTAAGGGAGACAATCGTCGAAACGTGGCTGGTTCCTGGTGTCGAGAGTCGCAGAAAGGCCGAGGCTTCGGCCAACACCTGTGCCTTGCTGTTTGGTATCACGAATCGGAACTTTGTTGCCGCATGCACGCTGCCCGTGCTAAAAAACTGGGCGAATCGGAGGACGTCCGGGCTGACACGCGGATGATGAACTTGCCTGATCACCGAGATGTGTCCGCGTGGCGCTAACATCCGCTCACTGAGTACCTGCTCCATGGAAAAACTCATGGCGAAGAGAAGGGAGAAGATGGAGGTAGAGAAGAATGAGATTGGGGGGCATCGCTTTCCCAAGCGGAACCCGATTCCGAGGGCAACCCAGTTGGAGAAGGAGGGGAAGAAGCAGAGAGATGGCGAAGGTAGGACACGTGGCGAACTATGGGTCTAGCTGACCGGCTGCCTGCTACTTCGGGAGGGAGGCGCACGGTGTTCACTCCGTTAGGCCCGAGCTCGATTACACAGAAGCACCCGAAGAATCGTGGTGCTAGTTTCCCTTGACGAACACGTTTCCTTACCTGCACCAAGTCTCCTAATTTATACTGGGGTCGGGGGCCCGCGTTCCCATTCCAGGCCTCGTAGCTTCGGATCTGTCGGCCATGGGCCGTTTCTGTTATACGCTGTCTTTTTCGGGCTAACCGGGGGAGGGCCCTTTCCATCAAATCCAAATGACATTGGGCCTTGTCTTTAACCGTCGCTCTAGTGGCCCTTCGGGGAAGGGTCGTTTCGTCGTTTAGGCTCGGTATCGAGACACAGGCTAGGCTGTTGGTCCGTAGTTGAAATGGCGAAAGTCCCGTTGATTCATGTGGGGTCCCTCGATGTATGGCCACGATGTGGTCTACGATATCAGGCCACTGCCGCGTGTCCTTGGCTGCAATATTTCGTCGGAGTGTCGTTTTAATTACTCGGTTGGCGTTTTTTACTAGGCCGTTCGATTGAGACATGGGGGGCGGTATTACGAATAGATACCCCATACACGACCAGGTTCCTCAGGACTTCGCCTCGGAATTCCACTCCATTGTCTGTGAGGATTTCCTCGTTATCCTGGTGCATCCCGAGGAAACGGTTGACATATCGTGCTATTTCCGCCGTCTGTCTTGTTCGAGAGGGGTATGTTTCGATCCACTTCGAAAAGTGGTCAACGAATACCAAAAGAATTGAATACTCACAGCTATTCGGTCTAGGGGGCACGATGATATCTGTCGTATCCATGCTAACCCTCTGGAATGGCCGTTGGACTACAGTGGGCACTATCGACCTAGGCGGCTTAATCGACGCTTTATCGGCGGCGTATACGGGACAATTTTTAACTATAAATTTAATGTTGTCTTGGATATTGGACCAGTACCACTCATTTTTATCGATGGCTGCCTCGGTAATTCTGACAGTGAAATGTGCGGCCGTCTCCTCATGCGCGGCCCGTACCCAATCATACCTCACGAATGTGTGCGGTACCACCATCCAGATTCCGCTTCCATCCGTTTTTCTTTTCTGTAACTGTCCCTCGTTCCACCTATAATCCCGTGCCCTCTCATTGGCCCGTCTCCGTTCCTCCTTAGAGAATTTCCGGAGAGAATTTTCGGCGACTGTGGCTATTAGGACGACATCCATACCTCTGCCCGTCTAAACCGTAGGGTCTTTTCCAAACCTTCCGACGTCGCATCCAGGAATCGAGCCTCCGTCGGAATCTTGTTAGTACGGCACAGGTGACAAAGCCATGGTTTTTTAGGATTCCTATACTGGATACACGACCCATGGGCTCTTGCTACACACTTAGCACATTCTACCCATTCGACGTAACCCTCGCTCTGTGCCTTAACTGAAACGGAATGGACCTGCGAAATGGACTTACAGAGAAGACAAAAACGATCGGTAGGGAAAACAGGGAAGAGGAGGAAGGAGAGAGAGGGCCCTCAACATTTCTTTCCCCTCGGGCCGCCATGGGGACACGTGTCACTTCTTCGTCTATCGAGGGAGAACCTTCACCTGCCCGTACCCAGGTCCCTTGGGCGGCTCCAGTTCGTTCCACGGAGTGATCTCCTCGGCGCATGGCACCTTGCCTGGCCTGTGCAGACGTGTCAACCCGTCTGCGTTCCCGTGCCTCTCTGTCTTTTGATGGATGATATCGAAATCATTCCAGTGTAATTTGTCAGCTTTTGGAGAGCCAACAAGGGCTCATGATGCGTTACGAGGAGGAACTTTCACCCGTAGAGATACGGTGGAAGTGCTGGATTCCCCAGACCACAGCGTAGCATTCCCCTTGAGGTGCTGAGTCGTTCTTTCTCTTGTCCGACACCGTCCGCGAAGCGTATTCGACCACGTGCTCCTGCCCGGGCCGCCCGTTCTCCCCTTTCTATGCTAGGATAGCGGAGATCGCTTCAAGCTGCTAGTCAGTAGTGAGTAGAAACTGGCGCTCAGGATCGGGCCGGATTAAAATTGGCGTCGAGGTCAGGGCTTCCTTCAAAGTGGAAAAGACCCGTTTGCACTCCTCGTCCTAGTTTAGCGGTTGGTCCTTCCGCAGGAGGTTCGTCAAAGGCCGAGGGATTGCCGCGAATCCCTTGATAAACCACCGGTAGTACGAAGCCAGTCCCAAGAAGGCTCGAACTTGCGTCAATAACGTGGATGCGGGTGCTTCCTGAACTGCCCCGACTTCCTCGAATCCGGTTTCAAGCCTCCTTGGGTTACCACCTAGCCTAGGAACGAGATCTCGGACAGGAAAAATTCGCTCTTCTCCAATGCAATCTTGAAACCAGCATCCCGCAGCGCGCCAAGTGTCCATTCAATGTGCTGCGCGTGTCCGTGAAACGATTCAGAATACACCAAATGTCGTCCATGTACACGATGATGCAAAAATTAATCATTCCTTGAGTTAACCTGGTTTTGTTCACGAAGTTCTGGAAGGTGACATTCATCGCCCTCTGAAAGGTTGTCTGTGCATCGCATATACCCAACGAAGCCACTGTCACGTGCCTTCAAATAATACAAACGTCGTCTTCGGCCGATCCTCTTCTCGTACAAGGATATGGTGGAACCCGTGCCGAATATCAAATTTACTAAAATAGTTAGCACACCCAATTGCATCCAGCAAATGATCAATCTGAGGGAGGGGATATACATCCTTGATCTTGATATTATTCAATTTCCGATAACCAATGCATATGCGAATCGATCCGTTCTTCTTTGGGACCAAAACTACCGCAAAAGACCAAGGACCTGTAGAGGGCTCTATCCAACCATTGGCTTCGAACTCACTGATGTGCTCGAGTGAGGCCTTCCGTTCCGCCAGCGAGTACCGATAAGGTTTGCAATGAATCGGCGGGTGGGTACCGGTCTGAATCTCATGCTGAATTATCAAAGATAATCCTATATCCGTGTCATCAACGCTGAAAGCACCCCCGTACTCCGTTAGGATTTCGGCTATGAGTCTATGGGTTTCGGGAACGTATTCTGGCACGTGTAATTCGTAGGGTTGTTCGTGAATGATGACCGTAACGTGTTCGGTGCGTATGGCTTTTGAGTCCCGGGGCGGCGGGGAAGAGATGAAAGAATTATCCGACCGCCACGAGAACACAGTGGCCATCATTTGATCTTCCTCTTCACGGATGGCCACGTGTCCTTCAGGGGTTATCCCATTCGCAATGTCTCGGGGGTCCACCGGTTTTTCAGTGATCTTTATTCGGACGTCGAACAGCGAGGCTTCGGGGCACCCAGGGGGTTCCAGAGCCTGTATCTCTGCCCCTAGACGCAGCAACCGTATCTCTTTTTCCATGGTGAGGAGCGATCGGGGAGGTGACTCTATAACGTCGCAGAAGGACCGTTTGTCCACGTATCGGGGAAGTAACGGGGTAGTGCCCTCGTACAAGGTCCAAGGAGGTTCCGAAGAATCGGGCAGTCTCGACACTTGTACCAGGGGTTCTCCTATAAACAGAGTCCAGGTTCGTTGAGCATTCTCTTCGGTAAGTACGAACGTCTTCGTCGTTTTCTGTCGGACTGGATAACTAGCTATCTTGCGTGTTAGTTCCTGGATCACTGGGTCCGTTTCGTCTTCCCTTTCCAGATCTTCGAGAAGCGAAGACACCTGTTCCTCGCTAGTCGTCTCAACCTCCTTTTCCACCCATGTGATCGTTCAGGATCAGCACTTGGATGGTCCTTACACATCCCGCCTGTCGTCGTGCGGAGGGTGAGACGCATAGGGAGGGTGTATGGGTTGCCACCGATGTTCCTGAGAACCACTACCCGCCGCTCGAAGTCCAGGTTGGCTTGAAGGGCGTTGAGAGCGGGGAGTCCGAGAAGCACATCGTATGAGGTTACATCGAGTACTACCACTACATCCCCCAAGGCGTGGACTTTCCTAGCAGAAAGGCGATATTTGCTATTCTTCTGACCGCTCTGATCTTTTCCTCATCTGCGGAGATCAGACGGTCTCCTTCGTCGAGTGAAATCAAATATTTTCTTCTTCCCACCCGTTCGACTACCCGCAGGGAGATGGCCATTACGGCTGCTCCGGAATCTAGAACTGCACTGTAGGGGACTCCGCAGACTTTCACGTCGCATTCTGCGGATTTTCGTAGAAAGTGATCATTTTTTTGGATGAGCCCCAGGCGTACGGGTTCCGAAGTTCCTG